CTATTGCATTGCCAAGCTCGACTCCTACCTTGCACACCTCTTTCCCTTCTTCTCTGCCTCTCACTTTTGTGTTCCCTTTCTATTTTTCTCACTCTGTATCCATTCACACCATCATTTGGCATTCGTGCACTGGAAAAGAGCACCTCGCCTATGGATAAAAGAGACAAACCCCTCTCTTTTGGTTCCCAAGGCGGTCAAATTTTAAGGTTAAGGCCACTTGGTTTGGTTTCTTAGTGTAATGAGGCTACAATGACTCCCCACCTGCTTCAACCTGCCAGTCCAAACTGGAAAACATTCATTATTTATCTCCTGCCGGAGAAACCAGTCACCTGCAGTCCAAACCAAATCGACAGTAGAAGGCAAGCAAACCTTACCTCCCGCAGTTCATGTGCCACATCTTTCAGCTCCTTGAGGATTCCTTCCAGCTGCTTGATCACCATCTTCATGTGGCTGCGGATCTGTTCTCTCTGACTGGGGGTCTCAGAGGGTGCCCGGGCTGGAGCTCCGCTCTGGGACATCCTTCACAGGCTGCTCACGGGCCGGGGTGCGGAGCACTGAGGGCAGGGGCGAGCCGAGCCACGATCCATGTCTGGGGCCTCTGGGAGCCGCAGTGCTACTGATCCGATCTGGGGCTCGGGCCACGTGGGAAGGGTTCAACATCTTAAATACGCCTGGGCAGCCGAGAGACCTCGCTGGGTCTGGGGTCAAGCCTCCTCTTGCTGTGTACTGCGGGGCATCTCGGGACAGACGCGGATGGAACGAAAGGTGCCGGAATCATTGAAGGATGCTTAGGCTGTTAGATCCAAGAACACACACTGAACTCCAGGATGAAGAAGCGAAATGCGCAAGAAGCGTGGCTCATTTCACCCTAGCATGTGTTTAGTGTGCCTGTGCAAGTCCTTAGGTGTAACTTTGGATGGAAAGCGGTTGTCTATGATGCAGAATTCTTTTCTTCCATGAAGACATGGCAAGGAGAGTTGCACGAGCGACTGATCCACGTAAAATCCAATCCAGGAAGAAAAAGGAAACTCCCAAAGATGCTTTTCTTGCTAAGTGCTTCTTTGTTTTAGATCTGCAACATTTGTCTTTTTTCTTGTGTTCAGAGTAAAATAAAGTCAAACCAAAAGGTGAAATATTCCAACTTTAGTTGTCCTTGAACTGGATCTGGAAGAAAAGGAGAGAGAGAGGGTGTAAATTCAGCCAAAAAGCCAGAGTGATTTTATGTGCGTGTATATATGTGTTTGTCCTCGCTCATTTGTGCGTGTCTGAAACATTAAACCAAGGCAACGGACGTGATGCTTTCAGAGCGATTGCCAAAATTGCAACTACACTTACAATAAGTGTTATGATGAATGTTTCACACGTAATCCCCCGAGGGGCGTCAGACGGAATGACGCATCCTTTCCTTTGGGTCAGAGAGACATTTCTCACCCATTTCGTTAAATGGCTGGATAAAGACGGATCTCAATCTAGTTTCCTTCGATTACGGGTGAAATCCAGTTGTTAGCCTTTCTTCAAAAGCCATCAGAGAAGATAAATTCCATGTCCTTTGTTTCGGGAAGAATTGGAAGAGAATAAAAGAGGAGAAGTTGACCCTTCAAGGCGCAGCCAGAAGAGACAATCTGGAAAGACACAACACCTGGAAAGACAGGAAGGAGAGCAATTTCTCTGTTTATCTGGAAACGTCTCTCTTCCTGTCATTTTTTCTTTCCCCCGTGTTCAATTTTCTCAAACACACATCTTGATGTTCAAGCTTCGGTTTACTACACAAAATCAATTACAGACAGCAAAGTGAGACCAAGAGGAACAGATACAAATACAAACACGCTCACCAAATTGAATCCCACCAGCCCCCGTGGAAATACACTTCATAAGGCAGTGGTCTCTGACACGCTTTCTCGCTCTCACCTCTCCCCTGGTCAGTGGTAGAAAGTGCGTGCAGGTTTGCCTATCCTTTCTCCTGAGGAACGACGAAAATACAGTTTTCGGCTCGGCTGAGCTCGGATCATCCTTCCCGTTTTGTTGCGGTGTCAGTCACCATCACACATGCCGTCTACCTCCCAATCAACCCTATTTCTCTCTCTCCCGTTCCCACACACAATCCCACTCTTTTATGTCTTTCCTTTCAGCGTCCGTCCAGCCACACTCTCCCACCGTCAGAAGGAGGGTTCATTCAGAGCTGTCCTTCAGAGAGAATGTGAAGCAGCAGCGGAGGAGGAGGAGGAGGAGTGAGGGAGGAGGAGGTGGTGGATGAAAGAATGGCCCCGGTTCCCCTCTTTTCGAGCCCCCGGCAGCCTCGGCTTCTCCACTCCTGCTTTGAATCCTGGAAGTCCTCGGATGCTCTTGTTGCTGCGGCGACCGTTTCTGCCTCGCATTCCGTCTCTCGGCCGTGGAGCAGACACCTCCTGTCGCCGTGACGACAGCCTCTGACTGAGGGAGGGATGCTGCCTTTGCCTCCGATTCAAAACCCTGTGGATCCACGCGCACTCTGA